TACTATATATAGTATATATATATATATATATATATATATATATATATATATATATATATATATATATATATATATATATATATATTATATAAGGGTAAATTACCTCTCAATATAAAGGTCGGCCCATAAGAGTAGATTTGGGCCGGAGAATTAGGAGGAGAGACGGAGACGGCCCAAAGCAACTGCAGTTTCAACGGAAACCCAGAGGCGGTTGCTTGGCGTAGTGTGCTAAATCGTAGTTCTTTCTGTCTCCTGTTCTTTCTCCGTCATCTCCCTCGCCGGTTTCCCTCTCCCCCTCTCTTTCTTCGTCTTCCTCTGTGGCTTTCGTGGCCGTTCCTCGGGTGCGTCTCTTTCTCTCCCACAGCAATTTCATTCGTTAGGATAAGCATAGGATCTTTGTGAGTTGATTTCTCGATTTGTTCCTCGGTCGCCCTTCCCTCTTTTTGGTGATCCACCCTCGTTTCGTTCTTGAGGATAGACATGGGATCTCCGGACGTGGACATCTTGATTTCTTCTTTCCGTGGTTTGCCCTTAACATGAGATCTCGTGCTGTTGATTTCTTGATTTCTTCTTCGATTTCCGATTTCAATTATTTTCTAGTCATTTACCCTGATTCCTGTATTGAGAACAAAGACGGGAGCTCCAGGTGCTGATTCCTCGTTTTATGGATCAGTTCCCCAATTTTGTTTGAGTTGGTGGTGAATGAAGTACCTCTTCTGTGGATTTTGTGACGATCGTTACAAGATTCTATTCCTTTTCCTGTGTTCTCTAACGATCTTTTATTAGGTTCGTCTGCGGTTTACCTTCCAGATTGAAGGGGTGATCACAGCCTGATTCTTTCATCGAGGGAAGGTACTCCTGACGTCCAATAATCCAACTATGCGGCAAAAGTTGAAAACCCTAAATTTCTTTTCTTCTTTCCCTAATTTGTTTTTGCTGCTGGTAATAGTGCGTTACCACTCCCTGAATTGTTGTAGACAGAATTGATATCTAGTCAAATAACACGAAGCCTATATATTACCTGAACCAATTTTTTCTTCTTGCTTCTCTGGAAGGTCTCTTATATCAATTAATTCACTGGAAAATGTTGTTCTTGTTGGTTTTTCCTCCATGATTCAGAGATATTCTCTAACTTTATAATCACACTACACTTGGCTCTATTCCTTCTGGTACTTCGCCTGATTCTTTCATCGCGGGAAGGTACTCCTGACATCCAATAATCCAGCTATGCAGCAAAAGTTGAAAACCCTAAATTGCTTTTCTTCTTTCCCTGATTTGATTGTGCTGCTGGTAATAGTGCGTTACCACTCCCTGAATTGTTGTAGACAGAACTAATATCTTGGCAAATAACACGAAGCCTATACATTACCTGAACCTATTTTTGCTTCTTGCTTCTCTGTACGGTCTCTTATATCGGTAAAACCACTGCAAAATGTCGTTCTTGTTCTTTTTTTCTCCATGATTCAGAGATATTCTCAAACTTTATAATCACACTACACTTGTCTCTAGTCCCTCTGTTACTTTTGGTTCTTGCCACCACAATTTTCTCCATCTTGTAAATATAGGAGTCTTTTATAATTAGATCATATGGAGTGTTATTAGCCCTTCGATTATTTGAGCCCTCCAGTTCATTATCTTTTCGTATCCGAAAGCATTACACTTCCGATAGGACATGAGTGTAGATGAACTAGATAGCTAACCACGTAGGTCAATGTATACAAACTTACTGCAGAGAACAGAATTATATGTTGACTGCTTTTATCCTAGATATACTTACTAGTTACCAATTCTAAACTAGACTTCTGCTTTTAATATGAGCTCTTCTTCTTTTTTCGGTTTTTTGATGTTAGCACTTATTTGCAGAACATCATGGCAGTTTGGAATTCTTTTTTAGTGTTAAATTTGGTGTGTTTTGGATGTATTGTTTCCATGGTCATGGATGTCAATAGTAAGCAACGTGTGAAATGTGCACCATGTTGGATTTGCTATTTTGACTGCATGGTCTATTGCCTGTTTTGTGGCCTTGCATAAATGAATTGTCCCAGGTTTTATCCAAAAGGTGCATAAAATTCTAATCACTAAGTATTAACAACACATACAAAACTTACTGCATAAGTGAATGGTAGGTTGCTGTTGGTATATCATGTGAGGGAACAAGTAGGTCTTGAGGTATTTTATAATTACATCACCCTGATACCTATATTTAAGAAATGTTAGCATGTCATCAGTAGGACAATAAGATGTGCAGATAAAAGCATTCATGTTACATTTTAAATTTCTTAAGCTTCTTCCATGGGGACATAGGCAAAAATGAAATGCATTTTGCTACTTTTTGTATCCTAAATATCATGAATGGACTCCCTAAAACAATCATGTGTCTTAAAATTATTGATGACATGTAGCCTAAGAGACCATCCATTCAGGATTACCAATTTGAGCTGGTCACTTCTTTCTTTTGCATGTCATAAGTTTTAGTTTTATTTCTTGTTACTTTGATGTTGATGAATTAAATAACTTGGTGTCAGCTCTTGCTTTTGCAGCTTTGTGTTCATTGGCTAGCTTGACACAATGGTTTCATTCGAGATGAATGATCGAAAAAGTATGATCTCTCTGCCAAATGCATGTCAATTTTCCTTTACATGTTCCCATAAGGTAGATTAGAAGCATAAAACTGAAAGAAATATGAGACAATTCACTTTTTGATGTTTACCTTATACAGCTTATTACGAAATCTGTCATGTATTCTTAAGCAAGTATTTTATAATTAACATTTTGAGGTACAAGAATAATTTAGTTAGTTTTCCTTCCCCTTTTTATCAATTTTTTAATTTTATTATGCAATCATTCTTGTAAGATGGCATAGTGATGCAGGAATCACTTTTCTCTTATTTTGCTTCTTTTGCGGTTGGGGAGGTGGGGAGGAGTAGATTAAATTCATTTAATTCACTGGGATTCATTCACATCCCTGACTTCAACTAAATCTATCAGGTGCTGGCATCTTGATTACTAGGTGCATGTACGGAGAGTTAAAAGGCTGACAACAATGAAGCAGGGAAATATTGAAATAAGGGTTTAAGAAGGATTTAAGTCCTTTTATGTTGCCAAAGCAGCACATCTGATCAATAAACCACCTGATATGCAACTTCAAGGAAAATAAAAAAAAAGTATAAATGTGTATTTTGTATAGGCAAACATTTACTCGAGATCGTTTACATTTAGTATTTCATACATGGAAGAGGCTTGTACATCACAATTTTTTGGAAGTGTGATGAAAGAAGATTTTGCATTTTGATAGCAACTTAAAATTATTTGAGATGTGTATTTTGATTGATTGTAAAACAATGATTTAAAAAGCGCTAGGCGCCAAGGTCCAAAAACGCTCGAGGCGCTAGGCGCTCGCCCGAGCGAAGTGAGGCGCTAAAATATAAAAATATATAATATAATTAATAAATATAATTATTTAAAATTTTAAATAAAAATATACTATTAAATTAATCTAATAAATATAAATACTATTATTAGTATACAGTTAACAGTATACTGTATACTGTATACTGTTAACTGTATACTGCTAACAGTATACCATCGAAGAGTGTAAGAGAAGAGTCGGAAGACCAAGGGTGTTGACCGAGAAGAGCGGGAGCGGCAGCTGCGAGTGACGACAGTGGCAGCGGCAGCAGCAGCGAGAGCGGGAGCGGCAAGCGGTGACAGTGGCACCGGCAGCTGCGAGCAGCGGGAGCGAGAGCGGAAGCGGCGAGCGGAGACAGTGGCAACGGTAGTAGCGAGCAACGGGAGCGGGAGGGGAAGTGGCGAGCGGAGACAGTGGCAATAGTAGCAGCGGCAGCGGGAGTGGGAGCGGCAACATTAGCAGCGAGCCGCGGCAGCAGCAGCGAGAGCGGCGAGTGGCGACAGCAGCAGCGGCGGCAATAGCGTGAACGACGAGCAGGGTTAGGGTTGGGGAAGTCATGCTGATATCGGTGCTTTAGTTGGTTTGATTGAACCAACTAAAGCACCGGAGACCGAACCAGACCTCAAACGCTGGTTCGGTCGCCTGGTTTAACCTAGGCGCTCACCCGAAGTGCCCGGTGCCTAGGCTCAGGTGATGTTTGATTACCATGTTTATGCTGCTTTGCTCTGCATCCTGAGATCTATTTCATGGTAGACCTTTTTTATTTAATAAGATTCTAGACATGTTGGCTGAAATTCAAATTCTCTGGTTATAGTGCTCCTCATAGACTATAGTGCTCCTCATATTGGCTGAGGAGCACTATAGTCTAGACATGTTGGCTGAAATTCAAATTCTAGTAAGATTCACTTTGATTATAGTGCTCCTCATAGACTAGCTTTGGTACCATCAATACTCTCTGGTTCTTCAGCAGCCATAAATGGAACAGTTGTGAACGTAATCAAATATTTAACATATGTATCATTTAGGAATTTAATTCTTCACTAAGATCCTAGACATGTTGGTTGAAATTCAAATTAGAGTTTTTTTCTTTCTTGAAATTCAGTTACAAGGTCAGGTTGTAACATTTAGAGGTTGTTTTAACATTTCTGCTGCCACTTCTCTATGCAAGTGATTTGGCCCTTGTTCATTGACTAGTGCTGGTTATTGGCCTTTGCAGTCACTAGTAGACAAGCAATCCGTGTTTCTTATGCCATACTTTATGTCTCCGTTCCGTAACAAGGATTTACATTCAATTTCATTATTTATGATTTGTTATCTAGGTAGTCTGATGCCATTAGTGCTATTTTTTATGATCTCATTGTTCTAATATTCTAACCTTGAGTCTGTCTAATCAGAGATTGGGCTAGGCTTGACGGGTTTCGGTGTATTTTTCTCATTCTTGGGAATCATTTTCTTCTTTGACAAGGGACTTTTAGCAATGGGGAATGTGAGTTCTTTTCGTATTCATCCTGTTTCACTGCATTAAATGTTTTGGTCTTGCTTTTCCTATGAAATTAATGCATTTAACTGTTTGTTTTCTGGTTGCATATTCCTCAGATTCTCTTCCTGTCAGGTCTAATGTTGACAATTGGTCTCAAGTCCACGATGCAGTTCTTCACCAAGCCTAAGAACTACAAGGTTTTACTCGTTGATATAGACTGGTCCACCATGCTGTATGGAGCTGTTTGATTAGGATCATTTCTTGCTTATTTGGCAGGGTACCATATCCTTTGGCGCTGGCTTCTTCCTGGTCCTGATTGGATGGCCAATCATTGGCATGATCGTGGAGTCATATGGCTTCATTGTCCTCTTCAGGTCAGTGCCTATTTGTTGGTACAGAGGTTAATGTTTTTTCTTCTTCTTCTTCTTCTTCTTCTTCTTCTTCTGTGGTCCGTTTGGCAAAAGGCTGTGTTTTGGAACGCATTACAAATGATGGCGTTATCATATTTGACATGTCAACTTCTTTGTATATTTAGCCACCTTAACTGAAGTTAGTGATTACTACTAATGTTGGTGTTTACCTTTGAAATTTCGATTGTGCTGATTGCTGACTTGGGTTAACTTCTCAGCGGCTTTTGGCCAACCGTTGCAGTATTTTTACAGAGGATCCCCATCTTTGGCTGGCTGTTCCAACAGCCTTTTGTGACATCGGTGAGAATGTGCGATCCAAATTTGTTGTAGGTAAATTTGTAACATGTTAATTAAATTATGTCTGGCTACATCTGCAGTTACTTGAGCGCTACAGAGGCAAGCGAGTTCCAGTGTAGTAGCCGCCAGTCAACAAGCAGCTGCAGCAGCTGCTGCTGCTGTTATTAAGACAAGTTACTTCTCACTGCAAAAGTGTTACTTCTCACGGCGTATTGTTTGTAACAGGGGACTCTTTGAATGATAGATAAGGTTGTATGTGCAGCTCGTGTCATCATGTTTATGTTTATTTGTGCCCGCTTTGGATCGTCTTATCTATCTATGCTTATGCATTTCTACAACTTACTTTGGGTGTTGCCAATCGAAGTGTGTATGTAATAATAGCAAGTATTTTATAGATAAAAAAAAGAAACTCCACAATTAATTATTGGTATATCATGGATATCAGACATAAAACACTGTAATCAAATGTATGTGCTTACACGAAGAAACAGACAAAACAAAAAAATACTTTCTAAACAAAAATCACACCCATCACAACCAACTCCAACTTCATCTGTCAATTCAGCTCAAGATCCTGGCCAATAAAAATCTTCATGTTCCAGGCCATTAGGTGGAAAACTCACTATTTTGTTGTTAGGTAGGTGGAAAACTCGAGAATTAATTGTGCTGTTGCTATGGGTTGATTTGGTTCTGACATTAATTGTGCTCTTTTGTATCACATTATATTCCGAAGAGGATGATGGGTTCTAGGCCTCGTAGCCCTCGTTAGTGTTTCATCACTATGACGGATCCACTCGGACAATCTCCATGGTTTCTGCCATTTCCACTTGAATTGCAGCAGCCACTGATGATGACTTCTTTTCCATCTCCAAAGCTTTCCTCCTTGTGCTATGACTGCCAGTTTCTTCCCCATCGATAAATGCCCGATCGGGACCATCTGATGATGTCAAAAATAAAAAACCTTTTTCTTAACCAAAACGATCCAAGGCTGCAACTCTATCAAGAGCAGTGAGTGAGTGAGTGTGTACCTTCTTCATTGGGTGATTGTTAAATGCTGCAGTCCCATTGCCGGGGCTACTTACGATGCCAGCAGTGTACTTCAGTTGTTTCTGTGCTGGAACTGCTATAGGAGACAGAGGGGTTCCCGTTTCATCTATGCAATGCTTCAGTGAACCATTTGAATTCATCTGGAAATGAATAAACCAAGAAGTTACAGAGATTAGATATTGCAACTTTGTGTATCGAGAGATTAGATATCGCTACCACTATGCATTGACGAACCATTGCCTAAAAAAACTAATACAGTCTGCACTTTAACATGAAAAGTTTCTCCTGAAAGCACACAATATATTTGTTGAACCACTCTTAGAAAAGGATGACAATGGGACCTACTGATAATCAGACATCCGTATCATAATCCAACTCAACATTCTATGCATGGATCCTCATATTGGATCCATTAATGCTGTAGAATTGGGTGTAAAACAATATCGCCCTCTAGTGTGCACAAATCTAATAATTGATCTTAATCTGAACAAAAAAAATATTAGGTAGACAGGTCCTCGTATTGAATTGACAAGTTCAATGTCTACCATTCAATTCACCTTCAGGCCTCGGTCATCTTTTCATAGTTCATAATCCAGGATATGTTTGATGGTCACAACCTTAGTTGCAACACTTGATCTTTTAAGGTTGTGCTATTATGGTGTCACCAAACATCAAAATGATCTTACCGGAGATGATGTGGCTAGTGCAATTGCAATAGCATGCTCTCTCAATTTTTGCTCTTTCTCCATTTCTTTTCTCTGTGCTTCACTGTGTCGAAGAAGACCGATGAGCTCATTCAATTGCTCTTTTAGTTCCTTGATATGAAGTTCCTTCTCCCTTAGTTGGCATCTGTTTCCACAAATGAAATCAATATCACACTGTTAAATTCATCCTAAGAAATTAACATAGACGTCAATTAAGTGTTTTTTTTTCTGAAGTTTAGCCAGCATTTTCCATTTATTTGCCTGATTTTTTAACTTAACAAAAACCAAAAGTTTTCAGATTCAGATGATACTCTCTGTTCAATAGATCACTCGAATAAAAAAAAAATCATGATTTGCATTGCTAGTTAAATATAATATAACAACCTTGCATCTGCAGCAACATTAAACATGTACTGGAGCAGGCACTTTGCATCTCCTATGGACCGCAATTGGTTCCACCTTCCACGTCCTGCAAATGTATGTTCACGTTCCTCCGCCTCCGAAAGCTGGGAAGCCATTGCTATAAGTGTATTCGATGAGATGGTCACCATGTTCTCTAGTGAAGCAATTCTCGCTAATCGTGCATTAGGGGTCATAGACGATAACCTGATAAGGATGAAAATATTAATATAGAGAACTAGATCACCAATTTCTCAAATAAATTATTCCTATTGTTACTATAGAAGGATACCATATACATGTATATTAAATGCTATAAGGCCTAAAAATTATCTACCTAGAACTTCCGTTCTTTCCTCTTGGAGGACTAGCACTCCCAGACAAAGCTTCCTCTTGCTTAAAAAAAGAAAGCTCCTCTGCCAAGGTCGATCTCCTGAAGAAAGGCTAAAGGATTTGATCAGGAAAAATAACATGCTACAAAAGTGGAATTAAAAGATAAAAATAGCATCCATTTACATACATTTGACATTGTTTCTCATATTCATCCCTAACTTCATGCATATGTACCAAAACTTCAACCTCATGATCAAGCCACTGTTGCAAGGACTTCTCATTGATCTGAAGTTTAAGATCCGGGTCTTTATGTTCTAACTGTATTTATAATTATAGACTGAATTAAATGAATGTAGGTAAAGATCTGAATCACGTACCTGAATTATTGCTGAATTACCAATAGCAATGACTGGAAAATATAAGAATGACTAAGAATAGAAGTTTTGTGCAGGTTGCAAGGTAAATTCAAAATTCATATACCAGGGTTTTCTCGTGCTGAGGATTTTCGAGCTTCTAGCAACTCTTTCAACTTCTTGGTAGCCATTGCAGCCTCTTCTGTCTTCCTCTGAAGAACCTGCAGGAATGAAAAATTACCTGAATGAATATCATACAAACTGCTCCGATTGAAAAATAATTGTAGCAATGTTTTCAATGAATATGCAGATCAAGATGAATATGCCCAGTAATAAGAAAAAGAATGAGTAAATGATCCAATTTCTTATTGGTAAAAAAATAATCACAATACAATCAAATACCAGTTGAAGGCTATTAAAAGAGAAGTTCAACAACATCATGGCTAATATATAAGAACTATAATCAACCAGCAATTGAATTATCAGAGTTTGCACCATGTTCTGTGCAGGGTGCATTCAGTAATAAAAAATGAACTTTTTTTTTTTGTTGAATGCATCTATAAAATTATTTACTTAAGAACCAAACAAATGTATGTGTCATGTTGTATTATAGACATCAAAGGGTTTGAAAGCTTAAACATCAACAACAATGTGAAATTAGGAAGATCTACCACCTTGTCCATTTGAAAAAAATATTACGAAGAATCTTCTTTTTCCTCCTAAATGCACTATACATTTTGAGAGCTTAAACATCATGTTTTTCTCAAGTCAACCCACTGTTCATCTTATTATATTGCATATCTGTTGGACATGATTTGACAACTAATTGTAAAAAAGACCAATATCCAAAGAGCTGGTAGTATGACTAACAATTGTAAGCTCCATCCTTTAAAATGAACCAGTAAATTCACTTTATGAGTAGAGCAGATATAATAGCCACACAGTATATCTTAAAACAGAAGAATAGAACTACATAAAATCCACATGCAGACAGGCTAACACTGAACAATATCTCAGTATATTAAAACATAACTAATCAAACTTCAATCTTAGCATGAACTTAAGAAAAAAAAAAGCATACAAAGGACTCCCTTCAGAGAAACATTCTACCATTTTTTGTCGCTGATTTAATGCTTGCAGTTTCCGACGTTCATACTCATTTCTCCTTCCCTCTTTCCTTAACTGATTGAGCCAGTGCATCAAAACGAAACTCAAATTTATAATCCAGAAAAAATTATACAGAAGAATGTAATAACCTAAAAGACACAAATAACATACTTTTATAACAAAAGGTTAGATTATGAATTTATAATGCATGAGAAAAAATGCAATAACATGAGCGCCAAGCTAATTGATTGTTCTAGATGACTAGAAAAGGATGTATAAATTTAGGCTATTTGTTGGCATACTATCCAAAAGAAAATTTTCCTTATGCTATGCAAGTTGATGTTTCCTTTAAATAAAGCAATATCATGATAAAAGTTAACATCCAAATGCATGACAACATAGTGGTGTTTTAGGTCTGATAAGAGTAATGTTTTCTTACGAATGATAAAGTAGAAGAATGTAGTTCCAACTTCCAACAAAAGGAAAAATAGATAACTTAAATGAGATATGCTGCAACTAAAACAATTTAATAGATTTTCTTTGCTTTACTAACACGAATCCTAAAGAGCATAATGCATGCCACTGCAAAAATACCTGTAGAAGTTCCTTCTCACGAGAAGCCTTCCACTGCCGAAACTGTTCTGCCTCTTGTTTTATCTTATGTTGCAATTGAACCTGCAGAATGAAACAGTATCAGTGCCAAACAAAAGAACCAGAATGGATTTGAATGGTGATAGAAGATATTTAGTTGAAAGAACAACCTTCTGAGCCTTAATGAATTGTATTTCATCTTGCAGCTTCTTTGCTGCTTCATCACTCCTTTGCTTTTGCTTTAGAAGTTGAACTTGGTTCTCTTGTTTCTTCTTGAGATTTATAATCTGTAAGAATAATTTGGCAAAAATGAAGTCTAGAAAATGGGATAAAAAAAAGAAATATAATATAGTTTGGTTGAAAAGCTATTAAAAAACCTATGGTAAAAAATCAAGGAAAAAAAAGTCACCTGTGCTTCTAGGGTCTTTAATTTCTGCAGGTAGTCATCTGGCAATTTGTGCATTTGTCCATCAGAGTTAGCAGAAAGGTTTTCCACTTCAGATAACAGCCTGTCTCTCTCTTGCTGAAATACTCCTCATTAGTTGCATGGATAAAGAAAAGCAGAAACTAAAAAATCTGTGTATGTTGCACTGAAGAAAATCTAATCAACCTGCACTGTTCTTTTTTCTTCCTCAAACTCCATGAGCTTCTTTCCAAAGTGTTGCTTGAGAACAAGAGTGTCACATCCCCCAAAAGTTTTCATCTCAGACTGCAGACATAAAAAAAGTTGTCAGCTAGACACTCTTTATATAGAGAACTCAAGAAATTGTTGAATTGTACTGAATTATCCAAATGAACATTTGATAGAGGAAGCTAAAACATATTTGATTCAAGTTAGAGATTGAAATCGATATACAAGAAAGAAAAATAAAATCACAAACAAAATCATGTTGTCAATAATTCAATATTGACTCCACCCATCCTTATGTCTTAGTTAAGCTACACATGGATGGAACAGCCCAATAGTAATCAAAACTGAAAAACAGCAACTAGCAAGAAAATTTATGGAGAACCTTGCTGGTCTTTTATACCCTTTGAGGAATGAGCTCTTATCTGAAAGCACTAAGTGTTTGGGCTAGTGGTTTGGGCCAAACGAAGTTGATAGGCAAGTTAGCCCATCAGGCCCGGGTTGTGACATTTGATGTCAGAGTTGACCTAGTATTTGAGCATAGTGAGGGAGCTCGAGTAGGAAAGTGTAACTCGTGAATGAAATCAAAGGACTCGTCACAGCGTGGAGCCACCATTGGGCTATACCTCACATGCACCATGCTAGGATTTGATTTGGGCTATGCTGAGCCTTGACAAGGATATCAAGTCCTTGAGTAGGTAAGATTAAAACATTCTGATTAGTCCCACATCAGAAGTGAGCAAGACTAAGATTGACTTATAAGGATCTGATGAGCATAATATTATTATCAACCTTAGCTTAAGCATTTTGGCCAATGGTTTGGGCCAAACAAAGTTGATAGGCCAATTAACCCATCAAGCTCTCTCTCTCTCTCTCTCCTTTTTTCTCCTCCTCTTCCCACCTGCATTGCCATTGCCTCCTCCTACCGGTACGTATCACCACTACTACCTCCTCTTCCACTTCCATGTATGTCTTCTCCCCCACCTTTTCTCCCCTTCTTTAGGTGAATCCATGCCAAGCGACCAGGGGGTACCGACATATGGAATGTCCAACCGTACCAGTGTCATATCAATCCATCCAAGAGCCAACATTGGTACCAAACCGAGATTCAAAACCTCGATTGAGAATTCAAAATGACACATTTTTAAAAATGTGTTTTTCTTTTCCGAAAACATTATTAAGCACTCTAGTTACTGAAATCATGCTTATTTCAGCACCAATCTAACAAACTATAATTCAAAATTCAGATTAGTCAAAATGTTTAAGCATGAAGCATTGACTTTTTCTCTGAATTTTTTATTTGAATAACTGAAAAACATGAAATTGCAAGTGGGAAAACTGAAAATGCTTGAAAAGGATAACTTTAAACCTGTGTAAAACCAAAACAAAGCTGATTTGTAAAACCTTGACGGCTGACTCTACTAGCATCTACACGGCCATATCAAACCACTTGAAACATCATTCACCCACATATCTAAGGCTCACAAAGATGTTTCTTAAAGTACATAAACAGAAACCATTTTTTCTTTTTTTGCTAAAAAAGAAAGGTTGTTGCATTTATATTTATAAAGAAACACAACCATTTGGTTGCAAATTCTTTCTGCAATCTTATCAGATGAACATTTAATTCTATAATCTGAGTGATAAATTTTGACACGTGCATACTATATAAGCATACATAAATAATCTAGTAATACATGACAGGGACTACTATAACTTGTACACAAGTTTCTTTAGAATCGACAAGAAAGCAAGCATTATTACAAGATTTAATGGAAGTTTGTATCACCTCTTTCTGCTCCAGTTGCCTATTTAACTCATTCAACTCCTTGCCCATGGAGTCTTGCAACATTTCGTATTCCCATTCTTTGGCTATTTCTTCATCAAATTCCTTCAAACTATCACCTGCTGGCACAGCGACATTTAGGTTATGAAGTTGTAGAACACAATAAATATTTAAGAATATATAATAGGATTGCAAAATAGTGAAGAGTTAAGACTGTCATCACAAAGTGTGTGAAAAGAATTGCCTCCGAGGTTCTTAGCCAGCTGGAAATGTAAGCTTTCTGTGCTTTGCAAGCTCCTCTTCAGCCCTTCTGCTTTCACAAAGCAGGTTCTACCTTTCTGAAACCATAATTAAGAATGACATTATCCCATTTATCAAATTGACAAAGCTCCACAATTGAAAGATTATTGGCCCCACTCAGTCAGAGTATAATCAGTTGCTAATAAGCCAAATTTAAAGGGTAAAAAGGTAAAAAGAGCAAGGTTCTGGCTCATATACTTGAAAATCTCTTTCGAAATGCTCACTAGCTTGTTGACCGTGGTACTCGCAGAGTTTCCTACAAAGATCTTCATTGGTAGCTTCCAGCCAAGAGATTCTCTCTTTAAGAGTCTACAGAACAAAAGCACAGAGCTTATAGAGAGAACATCAAAAAATACTTATATAATGTTATAACAAGCATAATATAAAGACAAGCACAGAGGCCAAAATATGGCTGGTTGATCCACAGAAGGAATCTGCTCATTTGTTGCATTGTCTTGTACTTAGATGTCCTACTAGGCAATTGCACTTATTCTTTTCGGAACGGTCATGCGGGTGCTTGCTCAAAGGGATGACAATCAACTTGACGGCCTAAAACCTCTCTTGAGCCTTTTTTCAGGAAACATTCTAAATTCAAGCTTATGGTCCATGAACAATCCAATATAACATGAAAGAGAATCAACTATAGTGACACTATGCAAGTCATTGTATGCTTATGTCTAAGGGGCCAATTAGTGACCAATGGTAATGAACGCTCAGCAGAAGGAAAATGTTACCTGGACTTCATCAGATTCAGTTCCTACACCACGAGAACAGGCTAGCTCTGCTTGCAAGTATTCGATATGTTGGTGCATCCTTAGAATCTCATCTGATATTGGGTTCCTGTTGACCTGGTAAGAATTCACAAGATAAGGAAAGCACTTGCATGCAGAGAAAAACGAATCTCATTTCTAACAAAGGATAATGATCTCTGCAAGATATCACCAAAGTCATAATCTCACAATGGGCTTATTCTCAATATTGCGAGCACGGTTAGCATACTTCAATGTGTTGAGTGTTTCCTCTGCATTGATATCAGCTGGGCTGATACAGGCTGGAAGAATTAAAGACAACAGAAATTAGAATCCTCAGCTTTAGAATCATAGGAGAAAGATCTGATGCTACAAACTAGTATATTCTTTAGATGATGTTCATGTGCATTGCAATCATCATGTAAAAATGATAATGTGATATGAAAGATATGATGTGTTATTAACAAACAATAAGCAGTTCCAAACTATACAGTATCAGGTACATGGATCCTTCCCTATCATTTATGGCAATACCTGCACAATTTGAGGATCATCACTTTCTTTGTTAATTATTTGTAATCAAGTCCTCTCTCTCACCCCTTCAATCTCTAATTTGAACTGCCTCACCTTCCATTCCAATTCAACTCCAAACCTTTTTGAAAGGTTTTCCTCTTTTATGAGTTGTTAGAACCATGGTTCGCCTTTCCGGTCCATACCGGTATACCGACCAACTGTTGGTATGGTATATATCGAACTGTACCGAGCACACCGACATATGATGCATGGGGATATATCGATGTACTGCTTGTACCAGTCTCCTATTAAACCGGTACATACCGCCCATACCGAGTAGTATACCGCGGTATGACGAACCTTGGCTAGAACTAACTTTTAACTATTCTGGAATCATTTTCAGTAATTATTGTGGACATTCATTTCAATATTCTTATCTTTGTCAAGGTTCCTATTGCACTAAGATGTACTTATTAGTATTTTCTGACCAAGGACCAGTATTGGACCTTATAGGGAACTATTGACAATTGGTACTTATTTTATATGTACTATTTAAGTGATACCATGTGGCACAAGTTGGTAAACTGTCCGTAATACCAATTCCATACTAATCTAACAAGGGTCAGTTGCAATGCAATACTCCTCTTTTTCTTCTGTTCGGGAATTAACTAGCAAAATGATATAACATTAAATTAAAAAAGGAGTTACTATATTTAGCAATATCATGTAAGAAACTACAAGTGATTCAACAACAACAACAACAATAAAGCCGTAAGTCTCAACTATTTCGGGTCGGCTATATGAATCTTTTGCCGTCATTAAAATCGTCATTAAAATCTGTAAAAAGTCATATGTTTAGTTAAGTGATTCACTGCAAGCTAATACATTGTTTTCACACTTTGTTATGCCTAAGATAACTCTTCCAACCAATGTGGGACTAAGCAACTGCATACTTGTTTTCCAATTTGCAGAAGAAAAAAAACCCTTACTCTTTTACAGATCAAGCATTTTGTTTCTGGAGGTGTTGAATCATAACATAAAGAAAGAAAAGAGTATGTAGATATAATCATATCATTGGATTATATTGACAAATTCCGAACAACCAATCATACTATTATCACAGTATGATGAAGGTTAGGTGGAAATGTCCCTACTGCCTTCTCTATTCTGCCACATGACCATAGACCAACAGACACCCCACAACTAGGCATAATGACATAGATGTAACAATTTCTCCCATGCACACTAGTTGAAAGTGTAGTTCCAGTAGCCCATAAAGTTGACACATCTAAGATCATGCATTTGCACATAGAAAACTAGTCTTTATTTGGTGACCACATGTCATGACAACCACTTGATGCAAGAGACAAAAATGTTGGGCAATTGCTGCAGGGGTTTTCAAGAGCTGTTATTTGCTATCAAGAATCGAATGTTGATCTGGAAGTGATACAGAAGTGACAAAATTATGATACATGTAAAGCTCCAGCAAGGCAAAAGGACCTAAGGATTTTTAGAGCCATCAGCACAAGTCACTCAAATGCTTTGGTAAGTCAGCAGAAGCAAGAGTAAAGAGGGCAAACAAATGGTAGCTAAACCATTGTTTGTCTTACCAGTCCGTATTGGTATGCCGACCAATTGTCGGTATGGTATGTACCAAGCCATACTAAGCGTACTGACACATGGTATATGGAAGCGTACCAATGTACCACTCATATCGGTCTTCTGTTAGATCGGTACAAACCGCCCATACCGAGCGGTATGCTACGGTATGACGAACGTTGGCTAAAACACATAGGGGTTCCGGACCTTACCTTCTAGCTGACCTTTTATGGGAACAAGATTATTAAGCTGTCTGATTGTGAATATTTTTGGGCACAAATAACAATCTAGGGGCTGAAGACCATTCCAACTTATCCCACAATATTACTGGTAGATGAGTTAGTAACAATTATCTCCTCTTACAGAGTAATATATTGTGGGTGGCACATGGCACAACCACCAAAATGGACATCTACCAACATAGAGAGGAATGACTCTTCTCGTAGTTGCTTGGTACACATCAAAAGTCCTTTCATTTACGTGCCAATGTGGTCAATGATGAGTCCACACTGGGTTGGGTCATATCAGCACCACGATCTGTTCAGCAATAGGAGGGCAAATCACCTATCATTCCACTCTGCTAATAGAATATATAATATCTGCAGTAAAAACAAGTGATTGTTCCTGCCATCTCCAAACAACAAAATGTATCCAATAAGGCGCATCAATACAAGAGTCACAATTCAGTAATAACTTTTGGCGAAGCATCAGATTAAAGAAAACCTCTTAGGACTATTAGATATGTTACCTATCATTACAGTCCTGCTATTTCCACCAAGAGAGTCCTGTCAAAATTAAAGTAGAAAATAGTTATAGAAGGAAATTTCCTTGTGAATGCCAGTGAAACTACATAGAGAAGTTTCCAAAATTCAGAAAGATGAATTGCTTCAACACAAAAAATTTGGAAAAGAGTATACTAAAAGCCATTGGCAAAGGCCCAACTGCAAATGCACAAAAAATGTCGAGAAGAATCAAATAGAAAAGTGGCAACAAAAGCGGTACTAAAGATGACTACACTTTATAAATCACATATACGAGTTCACCCTTCCACTCAAATTAGAAAAAGCAATGTCTTCTTGCATAATATGGATTCCAAACATTCATGATCTGTAATGTAAATGAGTCGAATTATTCATCCCTCAATCTATTAAAGAAATATCTTCCTAGTGATTATGAAAGACGTTCCACTAGAAATATTCTTGTTATTGCTTCAACATTATTTCCATTCGGATGTGGTAGTGTCATATTGGACAACTAAAAGCCTGCAGCATATTATGGTTTAAGCATAAAAAGGTTGGGAGAGAATTATCATGCAGAAGAAACCTAAAAATAATAATCCAAAAATTCTACAAAAAAGAAGGTTAACTTTATACCAATTACCAAATAACTATTGGCAACATGTACTAATTGTTAGCCTATTTTGGCATCTTCTATTAAGTGATAACTAGAAAATATTGAATGAGACCTAACCAGAGAAGTTTGTGATTAATACGTTGAAGTTGTCAGGAAAAATATTCTTTCCACCAAGAATTTAAATCGCAGTCTGATACTACTTTTTATAACCTATCAGATTTGAGTATGGTACTAGGACAATATACCGGCATGTACCATCCAGTATCATTGAATAAATTAATAATAAAATAAATGCAAAAATATCAGCTATATGTTTCAACAGCAACTAAAAGTTGTTGATAGCTATATAGCTCAACGATATAGCTTTCAACAGCAGCTAAAAGTTATTGATAACTGTCTCAACCTCCGCACAGCTTCCACCTCCGCCGCTGCTATCTCAGCATCCACCTCAACTCGTTGCTGCCACACCACTTCCTCAACGTATTGAGGCCATCACCTCTGCCTCCCTGGGTCACTCCTCTGATATACATAATCACATCCTCTTCATCATCATCATCTTCTTCTTCCTCTTCACCTCTTCCCCTCCTCTTTTCTCCTTTTCTTTGGTCTGGGCAGTACCAACCTATACTGAGTGTTGGGATACTGATCAGGTATGGTACGATACCATCCAGAAGCAAAACAATACTTTAAAACTTGAAGGCACTTTGAAATTCTTACTGTTACTAGAGATTAGGATCATTTTTTGGAGACCAAATTAAACTATTAATGTTTTTTGTGCTTCTCATACCATAACTTCACCCGCTAACTTGAACAATTTGTTCTAAAATGGGTATCAAATTTAGGCTTCAGATTTTCAGAAGTCAAACATCCAACTAATACCTTCCCCTTGTTTCCTCATTAAACTATTGTACAACCAAGCATCTGCTTTTGCAATCCAACCTATGTAACTTCCCTTCTCATGGAAGTTACCTCAGTTGTACCTATTGGTGGCAATAAAAATTAGGATCATATTACAAATATGTCATGTAGGACAGCTTGCCCAGCAAGTTCTGAGTAACTTTATGATCAGCTCAGAGTTACAATGTCTATACCATTATTGCAAAGAGAAGCCAAACTAGCTACAGGTCCAAATGGTATCTAACTATGATCTACAATAAAGGTTGATCGTTTTTATGATTGGATTACAAACTAGAATAACTGCATTTTATATCCTACCTACAGTTTAATTATTGCTTCATTCAAACCTAAACATATAACAACCTAATGCTCATTTCTTATTTTCATATATCTAAATTTTCTTAAAATTAGTTTATGAACATCATAGAAATGTTGATTAACCGAATGAAGATATCAGATGCATGTTGCGTACATATTCTTATGTTGAATTGGTTAAATGCATCATGGGAAGAACCGAAGAACATTACAGAACCTGCAAGAGTCGAGTAAGTTTGCTATCACGATAAGGAACATGGGCACCTTCTTTACGCTTTTTCTCATCTCCAAGAGCACTTATGACATTGCCAAGAGCTAAGAGACCCTTGTTGATATGAACCCCTGGAGTAAGCAAGCAGATGATATCAAGAGTAATTTGCATAAATCTAAAAGTGATCATAGGCAATAATGCATCTAGGGCCCAGTTAGGTACCTTCTTTAAATCGGAGACCATCTGAACCTGTTCTCTTAGCACGCTCTGATCCAGCAAGATCTACCAAATGGAGCTTTGCACAAAGATAATCATCAGTTATATCCCCAATAGGAGCACTGTCAGCAGTGGAAATTGGGCCAAGTTTGCGCATCTGCTCCAATGTGATTGTGAAGATGGCATGGGAACGACTATTCCAGGATGAAATTACATAAATGTTATTGACAGAATCACACAGTTTCAATTATATCACTAGAAATTTCTGCATCTCTTGCATCAAGAATCTTTGAAGATGATGAAATGAAAGGGACAAATCCACCCCGATATTTTAATTGTTCTTGAGCGATTTTGGAGCAAAACTACCATGGATTTATTGAAAAGAACATACTGCTTCCATTCACATTTAAAAGTCAATAGTATGTCAACAATAATTTGATTCTCAATAGTACGAAACTAGAAGGATAAGCTAGTACCAAATCAAAAGGTTATTGCCTGTCCTGTCCGCAAATGCTGTGATGAGTCTCCAATACATTTATTTTTTGAGTGCAGATTTGCTAGACAGCTATGAGTGAGACAATGGGAATGTTCTAATCTGGATATCAATGATATAGAGGACTGGTATAACTGGAGCTGGCTGGACAGAGGTAGTACCAGCCATCCTGGAGAGGAGGAGCTATTCCGAACAGTTATTGACAACTCCCTGTGCCAACTTTGGTGAAACCATAATGAATGCCACTAACGCAACCACCAGGTCAGGGCGGAGACCCTTATAAGAAGGTGGCAGCCACCACTTATGATTTCTTAAGGGCCCAGCTGAACTCTGAGGGGTGATCTTCTTCAGTCCCTTTTAGGAGACATGAATGTAACATTAGGCAGTGCCTAATAATCGAATGTGATGACTCTTTTAGTCCTCCTTTGGCTGCTGCATTTACAGGTTGTGTTGCCAAAAACGGCAAACGTTAGCTGGTGGCAGCAGGGAGTGCTGGAGTCAAGGCTAACAGCCCCATTCAAGCAGAAAGCATGGCCATTCGGGGAGCACCATACAGGACCAAGGAGGAAGGCTAGCAGAATATTGTGCACCATACTGACTCATTGGAATGGACAAACTTTTTGGGCAAAATCGATCAGGTACCTTGGTACCTGAAGTGTTTGTACAAAGACATTATGATGTTGGCTAGTGAGGTCAACATAAACAGCTTCCTACATTTGTCCAGAGAATGCAATGTAATGGCGCATAGCATAGACTAGCTAGCTGGGGGAAGGGGGCAAAACAATGTATTCTCGTGGGGTGTTGTTTTTGGCTGGCAGTCGATACCAAAATTTGGATGTTTAACTTTCAGTAATCAATAGAAGTTCTGCTTTTCTTTCAAAAGAAAGAAGAATCAGGAACACCAAATGGGCAGGATTGTGCTAAAATTCGTTTTTAATAGTATGACATTTATATATGGTACTGATACAAAAAGATCCTGTGAAAAATTAGCAAAGTAATACAAGAAGTATTCAAGAAGGACCAGATTAAATTTAAAAGGCACTTTAGTTTTCGAGAACATAGCATAGCATATGGTCCTAACCTTGACTGGTTGTTCATGTTTGTGCTTCCAGTTGCACGATTCGATGAACCTTGCTCTAGACATCCAGTCATTTCCTTTCGAGTGCTAACATCAATTTCAGTGGACCCAGAAAGTGTTATTACACCGTTTGAACCCTCACGTATATGTACAGGAGGTTTCCCAGGTATTGCCGCCTTCCCTACTTGTCCATTACAAGCCTCAAGTTTGCCAACAGTTGCAGAATCTAGCAAGTCTCTCACTTCTTCCTTCAAAATCTTCACAACCAAAAATTATGTTCTCAGAATTAGATGATAGTATGCTTTTACAACTGCAATAATAACAAGTGCAACACCATCAAACTAATTCATATATATGAAAAAGCTAAGAGTCTGAGGGTGAGCTTATGATGACAGATGATGTTGCCAAAAAGTGAGCAGTTGAAATCATGAAACATACCCATGATAAATGTAATATAAATATGGCATCTTTACAGACAATTCATAATTCCAAATAACATCCATTAAACAACAAAGTTAACTTCTTGCTCAAACTAGAATAATAACAAAAAAATTTGTGTACAAGGGAAGTGAACAATACAATGAACAATCACATAAGATGAGGATCAGAAGAACATTTGGGAGTTGGGACTACCCAAATTCATGTTTGGTAATGTCTTACAAACGGACAGGACGGATATTGTTCCCAAGATAGCACCAAAAAGGATGTAAAATCATTAGCGAGCATTCACAGCAGATCTAATGACTGACTGGTATCTGATTACACGTGTTTCGAAGGGGTTATTGGTCTTAGAATGTCTACTATGAGAGATAATTTAGCAAGCTTGGGCCTCTAAAAACTAGAAGTCCAAAGTATTAAAGCTCCGATGTTGAACAAGAAATTTTAATCCCTAAATAAATTCAGCATCAATTAATTCTTTCACATGGATATCGACATAAACCATTTCAGTTTCCACTTTGCACACCATAAAAGTAAGGTTTACTAAGAAGCTAGGTAAAGGCCCATTACTTCACGATTTGTGGTGAGCCTGAGCTTAAGAACAAGATAGTGCCTAGTCAGAATGTGTAATGTAAAGCCGTCAGATGTTAACCTTGTTTAACCTTAAATTGCATAACCTAACTGCTATAAAGGATTAACTGCTAGCCAAAACAAATAATTTAAGCAGATTCTATCACACTCGCAGCTAGCATATTATCAACTATAAAACGGCCCATCATTAAAATCTATTTAAGGTGTTTGCAAATATAATTGGCTAAACGATTCATTTAACTCCAGCAGTAGGTTCAATCCAGAATTGAGACTAGTTTTTGATGGTTCTAGAGGAAGTGTGCGGCGATCCAAATATTTCTGAATGATTTTGACTTTTCTATATATCTTAAAATGGTCCAGGTATATAGTTTTTTTATATTATATAGACTATAGAGCTCCAACATCTAAAACATCAAGAGTTTATTTAGATAAATTTTAGAAATCCCAATATGTAGAAAACCTAATTGAGGCAGAACTGGAGGAAGTTTAGTGCATTAAGATAAAAAAATTAGCATAGCTGACAATCAAAAGAGAACAGCAAGTGAGATGTTTTCTGTCAAAATAAAATCTCTGTCTGGCTTCTGGCCCTTTCTCTTCTCTCAGATTTTTATCTTTTCTGTACTCTTCCGCAATCTAACTCCTTTAACAGTCTATCCTATTTGCTCTTGTATTCAAAAAGAGAAACTAGTTTAAAGAAAGAGTAGTTTTTACCTCAATGAATGAGACACGCAATTGGAATTCCACTTGATGCTTCAAGGCATCAATCTTGCTAAATAGTGCATTCATAACTAGTGGGATAATCCCAGTATGGGAACCATCTCTGCATCCAGTCCCCATGGTGTATGTCTTCCCTGACCCCGTCTGTGGCACATCATAGATGTCAGATGATAAAAAGAATTTTGAAGCATACATCATATAAAATGTTATTTCATCCGTCAAGTAAAACAAAAAGTAGCCTAAGAGTAAGACACTACTACTTAACCTGGCCATATGCGAGAACAGTAGCATTATATCCTTGAAACAAACCATCAACCAGTGAAGCAACACATTCTTCAAACATGGCTGATGTTGGAGAACCCGTACCCCCGTAGACATGATCGAAGGTAAAAGAATGGGTTCCTATTTGCACCTGCATATCAAATGCATTTGATGAAGATTAACTTTGATTGGAAAGTACAGGTTGCAATATGACTTTGGAAAACTCAGTCATAGATAAGAAAACTCTGTGATTTGTTTTCTAAAAATAGCAGCAAAAGTTCTTTTGGTTTCCATGTTGTATTAAGTATTAGTTATGATTGGATCATGTTCCTTTGCTGATTCAAGCACCCAGTTTCTTCAGATTTATCATAACTAAACAGGCAAAAATCCCCTAGATTCGCTCCAACGGAAATGGGATCCCCCTCCACTCTCTGTACTGCCGCTTAGGACCCCCACCCCTCGAAAATGCAAATTAAACTAACCTTCATTGTTGATCATGTAAATGTCCTCAGAATGCAAACCTACACAAACTGCATTGATTTATAATTGACCTGAAAGAAAGCCTTTTTGGGTCTTCCCTATGTGATTCAAGAGTCGAGAACTTGAAATTTTTGTAGCAATGAGAAAACAAAGTTCTTGGAGGAAACAGAACATCAACTATAGCAAATCAACCGAAAATAGTTTGCATATGAGTCATAAATCTAAACAGAATAGTGGAGAACTGGATATGGAACTGTACAATCCGCAAATGGGCCAATGATCGATAAAGATCTTGATGGGACTCCCTAAGATACAATAGTGCTAAAGCAACAAGAGAAAAAAAAAAAAAACAAATGCCAGATCATTACCGTCGAAGCTTGGAAAACAAGTCAAATCTATTAAGCACAGAAATTTGTGATGAAAAGGACCAGAACAGGATCAACCCTAGGAATGTTGAAACCCTTGCACATGCACAGAAATAGATATGCAAAGGGGAGTGTAGGCATCATATCACTTAACCACATGAAACAGGATATCGCACTACAATAGCAGGAATAACATGAGAAATGGGTGACACCGCTGAAGATAAGCGAGCTTAAACAAGAATAACAGGGCAGATAATAAGACCTAATTGTGACAGAACTGCCCTATATCTTCACAGAAAAGAGAAAGATCTCAGTCATTTTCCATGACAATCATCCAGGAAAACAAGAAAAAGAAACAACTATAATTACAAGTAATGACAAAGAAAAGTCATAATTAAAGAAACTACACAAAAACCAAAGCCACATATTGAGAGGAGGGGATTCTGATCCAAGAATACAGGAACGACATGATGATTCAAAAGGCTTCTTCATAAGCTGGAATCAGAAGCAGATTAGATCTCCAACATAGTTGGCTGAAAAATTGCTGGCAGATGATCCAACAATGACCGAGAACACCTTTGTTATCAAACCGTCCAATGACCACAAGAAATCGATCTAACAGAAATTTGATTCAGAAGACCAAGAAGCAAGAACCTGCGGCTTCCCAGGGACGACGGTGACACACTCCTTGCAATTCTGCAGCCGCTCGTCCCCGACGAGCGGCCGGATGTGGACGGCGACCTTGACGCAACAATGCTCACCGTTCTCCATCCCGACCTTTCCTCGAGAACCCACACCAAAACCAGCGATCGAAATGCGGCAAACGAGGTTCCTCTTTCCCTCGAGAACAAGGCAGCGAGGATTCAAGAAGGCCACGAGACCCTGCGACTTCCTCAAGAACACAACTGTACTCTTTCTCAAGAACAAGGCGCGGGGACGGTTCAAGAAGGCCACAAGATTTGCGACGTTCTCAAGAACCCACCACGACCAACGGCGACGAAGGTCGTTTCCTTACTGCCGAGAGGAGGGGGTCGGTTCAAGAAGACCACAAAACCTGCGACTTCCTCAACAACCCACTTCCAAGAAAGTTGCAGCGATCAAGGCTCCCCTCTCCCTCTCCAGAACCTACGAGCGTTAGCAGCGAACAAGGTTGCCCCTTTATTGCTCTCAAGAACAGGGGCTCAAACGAAGAGGAATGAACGAATGCCCCAAGGAAAAGTGGAAAGGAAGAAAGAGAGAGAAACGACGGTTTGTGAGAGAGAAAGAAGCAGAAGCAGAAGAAAGATTAGGATGGAATCGAAGTCGAGACTCGACGACAGTAGTCGCGGCAACGACCGCCATGGATCATCATGCTTTCTAGAGCTTCACTACAGAGTCCTCATCTCTCCCACACACCCTTTTTCTCTCGCGGTAATAAGAGGTGGGATCGAACCGGGGACAGTTAACGGTTTTTAGAGCGGCTCGGAGGAGGAGGTGGTGGTGGACGTGGTGGTGGGTGATGCACTGCACACATTATTAGTGGCAGTGATTACGACTGACGACCACCGTCACTGCTACATCGACAGGCCTCCGCTGCTGCTGCTGCTGCTGCAAGCAAAAAGTGTCGTTCGTGTACTTATTAGACTCGCTGTGCTGCTACAATAATGACATGGCATCTCCTCTTGATGCCACCGTTGGTCAACAGCTGATGCAATTCTTCTCTCCTCAATCTAAGAGCAACAGCAGAAACAACATCGATAAAAGGGAGAGAAAAAGATGTGATCGAGCAATTCTTCTCTCCTCGAAGCCCTCTCAACCAGTGGATGATCCCCATTCGATATCATCTTACTCTGTCATCTCATCAAATCAAAATATCCATCGCTCTATGATCCACTTGGTTTGTGAAACAAGATACAACTCAAAAATTACTACTTTAAACTTGACAATAATCCAAACAGTAGATTCATCTAGCTTTTATCTTCGATTCACGCGGTATTTTAGAATCTAAGCATCACATCACATGGAAAGCTTTGTGGTTCTGCTAGGTGCCCAAGCTAAACCAGTAATGTATTCCTCGGTTTCAGCCTCAGCTCTGTCCTACTTCCATGGAAGCCAATAAACAAAAGTTGGGTGGGAGTTTGGGCCAACCAATAAATTTTCTGTGTCTCGGAGAGTGAGTGAGTGGCTCTTCTTCTCCTCGTTAAGGAATCTAAACTTTGTCTGTAGATTAATTGAAATATCGAGACATGCATGTACAACAATCGTATTATCTTCTTGGCATTATAAATGTTGATGTGGCTTGGACGTGACGAGCAGAGGACCATTGGCGCTGTACCCAACGGCACAGTTAGCTGGACCGGAAGGAAGGAAGGAAGGAACGAAGGACGCAGTACTGGACAAGTAAATGGTGGGGGGCTCAAAGACAGCCGGCCTTGTTCTTGTTGCGGGACATGGCTCAAATGCATTTGGCGACGCATCCACTCTGCTGCACTCGTAATCCATGTTCTGATGGGGAAAATGTCCACACCAGAGGATCTGGATGCACCACCTGAAGCGTGCAGTGCCACCGAACGGGGAAGCATTCCCATTCATCTTTCGTTTTCTAAAAAGCTCTTGGTTAGCTACATACACTCTGAAGCTTGATGGAAATCCAAGGCGTTTTGTATGAGAGTAGTTGTCCGTCCTGTTCATGACAAGCGGAGATGACCATTCTGTCTATCCTTTATTGCATGGACCAGCTGCACAGAACAGCACAGCTTGCCGGTGGTGACGCAAAGAAAAGCACTTCGCCCCAGAAAAAAAAGATAAAAGGGGGAACACCAACCGGGAACTCATCCCCACCACCGCACATGCGAGCATGCAGGGGCAAGTTTCCCCTCTGAAATAGAAAAAAGGGGAGGGGGAGAGTGGGCTGTGAGATGAGCAAGGAGGCATGTCAACATTGATTGTCGTTGCATCTCATGGGAATACGATGCCTCCCTCCATGTCTTCTGCAAGAAACCTGCAAAATGAGAGGAAAAGGTGGAGCCATTGGCTGTAAGGTGAACAGTGATCATGGCTTTGGCCGAAAGCCATCAAGGTTTCTTTCTTTTTCTTTTACAGTGCCTTTTGTGCAATAAAGTCAGTCCAAGTGCTACCGAATCTCTTCGCTAATCTGATGATCTTTGTGTGACACAGAGGTCATTCTTTTGTCCCATCACAAGAACACAACCAGTAAGACGATTCACAGAATGAAGAACACGCGGGAAACAAGCCAGAAGCATCTCAAAGCAGTCATCTTGCTGTCCATGTTGTCGCTGTTCTAGTCTTTCGATGGCATAGTGATACTCCATGATGTCTTTTAGCTACCTTGAACAAACGTGGAGAGAGGGAGAGACAGAGAGACGAACACGTGATTTGGAATCTCGGTGCGGAGAAGAAGGCAGCGTGGCTTCTCTCATCACCTTGCTTGTGCTCCTCTTATCCTCTCTCTCGCACACACCCGACCAACAGAAGGTCGTGAGAGAAGGAACGAGCTCTTTCTTTGTCTCTGTGACCATCTCTTGTGCATCTAAATAATTAAGGTTGTGCTGTGGCCAAAAGACAGAGAAATTAGAGGTTCAGAGTTCAATACGTGGGAAGCATCCATGCATACATCAGTGTGTCTTTCTTAACAAAACAATCTCAGTAATTCATTAATTATGCTAATCATGCACCTCATGTAGATCATTGATTATTAGCAAAGCTAGCTAGTCTGTGAATCAACAACCACATATGATCACCAATGATGGCATAGCATTCACACATTATGCACAAGAACACCATCATTTGGCCTGTACAAGGGTTTCTTCTAGTGTAATAATCCTTTGCCTTTTTATGAATTTAATGTCTTGTATTCCCTTTGTCTTGATGATGGCAGCTAGCTTTTCTACCTTCGACCAGTGCAGCTCATCGATGTGCCGATAACTTTGACCACACCACAGCACCAGGCATGCGGTTGATGAACCTTCGACTCCTATCTTGATGCTCTGCTTATCTAACATGTACTTTGAGGTGGCCCGGAAGTGGATTAGGCCAGCATGGGACATCCACCCTCTTTTGGCAGAGCTGCCAAGTCTTTTACGCTCTGTTTCAGCACCATGGTTCAGATCTTTCTCGTTCGAGTGTCAGTCTCAGACCATCATTCATAGCTTTCTCAATCATCGGATGATTTGTGCTATCTTTCCAACATGGCTACCGTATCATTCCTGTTAGGCCAAAAGCACCGATGCGGTCCTTTTTGTCTTCGAATGGAGTCACCGAGCTCTTAGTTTCTCTTATTTCCTGTGCCTTCATCAAGAGTGATCCCACCCGTGACGCTTGGATGCTTCAAGGTTTTTGCTAGATCAAAGTTCTACCATCAAGAGTGATCTCGGTCTAGAGTTTGCAGCGGAAAATTATGCAAGCTTCACGGCATGATTCCCATGTATCATACAAAACACAAAGTGTTCTTCGAAGCTCTTCCCAATCTGTTTAACACTGATAGGTTAGGAGGTGGCCATGATCCACCTGTGAATTGATCAAGAGCAGCATAAGCAACTGAAGCAGTGGCAATAATCGTATGCGTTGCCATGACAAGAAAAACAAGTGTGATTGAATCATTGGCATTTCTTGACTTTGGAGCTAAACAGGCACTGAGTATGGATTTCATGTAAGACACATCGAAAGGCAAACCCACAGATTGAGGTTTACATAATTACAGAAAATTGTCTGACGTTTCACCCTCAAATCTATCGATAAGATTTCTCACGACGACCATATAAACATGCAAACATCTCACTCGCGGTTTCACACAGAGAACCACCTAGCCGTGAAGGCCTACTCATTGGATGATTTCCTTGCATCAATGCCCGAATTCCACCAGTAGGGTGTGGCAGGGCTGCTAGCCAGAGCCTTCACTCCCAATGGATTGTCCTTGCTCTGTTCATTCATTGAAGCCAAAAATATGCATAAAATAGGAAACAGAACACTAAAAAATTTCTTCAAGAAAAATTGGTAAGTTACGGAGATGGATCCGCGTAATTAACGAAACCACTATGAAGAAGACATCCATGCACATAAAATTATAATAACACTTCGAGAATTGAATGAACTTACAAAGACATATCGGTGCATGTTAGAGAAAGTATGAAGAAGATATATCCATGGATGCATAGTTTGTGGGAATTGGACTAAATAACGGACACAAAACAGACCGATGATTCTATCGTGGAAGTAGCCATTTCGGTAAGAAGAAACCTAGATCATATAGCATTCTTCATGTTAGAACTATGTGCTCGGACGCATGTGAAAAAATGTGTTGTGCAACCAGCTAGATGCACCACGTCGTATGCAGCAAAACTAGCATAATATTTACAATGACTTTGGCTATGGATAATACTAAACCAATAGCAACAGTTCCTAGATCCATGATTAAGCTAATTTTCCACACAGGTATGAGTTTCTAGTTACAACATACGGCCCCTTATGTTCATAAGTCACCCACGCTTTGAGATCAGAGACTTATGAGGTCAGATCACAACCGACAGGTTGAATTGCTTTGATGATGATCATACATTAGAAAATTAATTGATTGTGAACAATGTATCGAGGAACATGAAGTTACCATTTGACAGGTTCCCGCCTGAACATTGCAAAAGGGGTAGTCCTGGGGGCAGCAGCTGTAATGATCTTCGCAGCAGGTAGCAGCTTCAGAAGGACAGCATCCCCAGGCATAGCAGTAGCGACCATTCTCATAGACGCAGCAGCAGGTGGTGCCTGACAGGCAGGCATACTGACTATCACACGAAGTTGGTGGATTCACCGAAGATGGATGACAGGGTCCATGTTTTGGATCCTTCTTTGTGGGGTAAGATGGTATCATAGCAATACCACACTTTCCAGCAGATGTGTTGACACTACGCTCCATCCTGATATATCCTGCCTCGCCCCAGTCCTCACCCCATGAGTTCCTCACAATCCAATAGTCTTTACCATGATCTGTCCCATAACCCACAATGACAGCACCATGATCCAGATCAGTCCCGCATCTTCCTGTGAACACCCCCTGGTACATGAGCAAAAAATTGTTGGAACGGTCAACAATCATATACCAAAAAAAAGATGGTTGTAAATGTGCACCAATCGGCTAAATGCAAACATTAACAAAGGCTACAGCTCTTTGAATTTCATAGAATCGACGAGCCTTAATAGATAACATGAAACTATCAATTATCAGGTATCAGCTACAATCTCTTCTAACATGGGGGCATGCCTCGAGGAAGTTAAAACAAATATCATAATTAGATTTACGTTGGATATACATCGGATTCCTATGCATGACATAGTTTTAAGGCTTTGTCCAAATCTCAAATGAGATTTCTTTTACCGTCACGATCTTCCGAGAAAGCAGTAGATCACATTTCTGATGCTTAATGGTCCTATTAAATAATATAATTCAAACACCAAAATTGTAACTTACAAGAGCACAGCTATGGTTAGAGAAAGAAGCAGCACATACCTCCAACCTAAGAAAGATAGCAACTGGGAGCCTCTCATCTATCTTCCACAAATAGAAAGTAACATAAAATGAATCGGGGTAAAGCAGTGTATCTGCCTCTTAGGTTTGTACAATGTTTTTCCTAATTTTGTATCAGTTGCGATAAGTTTGATGTATATGGCAAATTGCACATACAACTACATTTGTAGCATCTGACAAATATGTACATAGCAATCTGACTCAACCTCTTCCAATAAAAATGGAAGGTAATTTTCATTAGGGGTCAATAGTAGTTCGAATCGATCATTCAGCACTTATTGACAACATTGTTTAGACTATCACCATATAGGTTGTTATTCATCATAATCCGCGACAATCTAAGAACAAGCTAATGGTTAAATCTCACACCAATAACCACTAAAATACCGGGTACTTACCGATCGGTACAGTTGGAATTCCCTGCTACCAGCCTCGATAGCAACACTGACTGGCTGATTAGCAACAGCCTTCAGTAGGGCCTTCTCATCATTAGTTGGGACATCTTCAAATCCATCGATAGAGACAGCCTTAGCATTTTTCTGCAACGAGGGCATAATCAACCAATCACCACCAATAGTAATAAACCTCTCTCTGTGCATCCATCATCCAAGTGACCATGACCAAGGCTGAGGAATATACCCTGAGCCAATTGCACTTGTCCTCATGACCCTTGTAGGGGTAGTCGTCCTCTGTGTCGATGCCACCATTGCTGATGATGAACGCAAAGGCATAGTCCACGATTCCACCGTTGCATCCCAGGTTGTAGGCTGTATCGCAGTCCACGAGCTCCTGCTCCGATAGCCTTATCAGATCTCCAGTAACAATCTTGTTTATGCCTTCGACCGCAGCAATGGTAGCGAATGCCCAGCCGCTTGCTTCGCCAACAATAACAAGTGCATCAATTTCCAGCTACCAGCTCATCGTTATGCTCAAAGAATGCACTCCCAAGAAATAGAACTTGTCAATACTATCATTTACTGATTGTAGCCAATCGAAGCAGATAAAGATATGTGGATCCTATAGATCGAACGCTTCCATTTATACAATTGAAAACATTGCTAAACTCCAAATGTTATTGACCATACCTCAGTGTCAACGGGAGTTGGGAACCATAAGTCAACCACAAATCCAACATGAATAGGATCGTAATTCGACCGCGTGCGACAACCTTTCGAGGAGAGCAAAAGGAGACTAACCGCAGCGACCCTGGTCCTTGACGGCGGCGACGGCCCCCTCCGCCCTCCAATCGACAGAGGCCGGAAGCTCATCGCCGGCGTGGTGCACGTACCGGTGGCTCGCCACTCGATTCCGCCCGGCAGTGGCGGGGGGCCTGGTGGCGAGGTACGCCGCCCGGTACTCCTCGTTGGTGAGGTCGGCGAAGCGGTTGAGCCCGAGGTGGAACCCGCGCCCACCAGCTTCGGCGGCAGCGTTGTGGGCGTCCACGAACCGGAGGTTGTCCTTGAAGACCTCGAACCGCTTCTCCTTCTCCCCGACCGCGTCGTACGAGCGCCGGTGCTTCACCATCCATTCCTCGTACAGCCGCCGCACATCCTCCTCGCTCCTTCGCAAGCCTCCTACCCGGCGCCTCGCCTCGTAGCTAACGATGGACGTGTCCAGCGCGGCGGCGGCGGCGGAGGCGGCAAGGCCAAGGAGGAGGAGGACGACGACAGCGACGAAAGGCTTCGAGATGACATCCATGACGCGAGATCTCGGGCACAGACAAGGCCGAAGCTTGGGTTTGCAAGCGTGGCTTTTTGGAATATAGAGAGTAAACGGATGACAGTTGTCTACTTCTTTATGTATTGGACTAATAAGGTGGAAGGAAGGAGGTATTTAATGGATCAATTTGTTGGGAAGAAACATGTTAATGCGGAATAATTTTTTCCCTCTTTGTGTATCAAAATAGGTTCCTCATCAAAATACCAACTTGATATCCAAATGAAAATATCAATCAGCACAGCATAAACAATAGAGCAATAAATCAATCACACAGTGAGACCAAATCTTTTTAACGTGGAAAACCCAATGTGGGAAAAACCACGAGACCGTAGTCCACCTCAAACTTCCACTATCAATAATGATGATAACAGGTTTACAGTAGGTCTTCTCTAGAATAACTAGAGGATCAGAATAACATCAAGAACATAGATCTTGGCTCAAGAATACCATATCTTCATCACATAGGTGAATCTCCTCCAAAGAGAATTCTAGGTCTCACAGAATGGATATCGCAGGAAAGTACCTTAGAGAGGGTAAACCGCAGATCAACACCGTTAGGATTGTAGAGTTTGCTGCAAGGATTCTCCACATAAAATTTGAGCCGAAACTGACAACGTTTGGCCACCGATCGTCAAGCAGAAAACTCAGAAACTTTACTTTCTCTCTCTATTTCTCTCTCCTCTTTTCTCTCTGCACGTCGTCGCTGTTCACTGTGCACGTACGCTGCACGCTGCACGCTGCACCCTGCTCTGCATTTTTCCTACCTAATTTGCCTTACTTCACCTTAATTAGTGATTTGGGCTCAATAGGCCCAATTTGTCCAAGCCCACATATGGACTGGACCCAACAATT